TTAAAAAAAGTTAGATTGTGTCATTTGCATATCTCCGTAATAGGTCCCCTCCATTCCTAAAGCTACATTCTTCTTCATATAAGCCAGGTCTTTCTTTGTCCAGCATATGGATTGATGAATATGGTGGAGAGCATACATTCCTGATTTTAAACCATGGATGATTCCCTTGTTCTGTTCACATAATTGCTACTTAATCCATGCAAAAGTTCCAAATGAGCACATTGAAGTGTTCTAGAATTCCCATTGTTCTCAAAGTTATCCATAGTATGTTATGCTCCACACAGTCAAATGTCATGGCATAGTCAATAAAACACAAGGAAAGCTCTTTCTGGTATGCTCTGCTTTCAGCCAAGAACCATCGAACATCAGCAATGATATCCCTTATGCCATTGACTTTATGAATCCAGGCTGACCCCCTGGCAGCTCCCTGTTAATGGATTGCTGCAAACATTGTTGGTTGATGATCTTCAGAAAAATTGTACTTGCTGTGATATTAATGCTATTGCTCTATACATTGAGCATCTGTCGGGTCACCTTCATTTGTAACAGGTACAAATATGGATCTCTTCCACTTAGTTGGCCAAGTGACTGAATTCCAAATTTCCTGACATATACACGTCAGTAATTCCAGTGCTTCATCAGCTGTTGAAACATTCCAATTGCTGTTTCATGAATACCTGGTGCCTTGTTCTTGGCTAATGCTTTTAGTACTTCTTGAGCTTCTTCCTTCAGCACTTTTGGTTCTTGTTCATATGCTCGCTCCTGAAATGGTGAAATGTTGAGTATTTCTTTTTTATAGAGTGATTTGATATTTTTTCTGCAGTCTCCTTCAAAATTGCAACTCGAGGCATGAATTATTTTGTTGATTTCTTTCAGTTTCAAATATGTTGAGCATGTTCTTCCCTTTGATTTTTTCACTTCCAGGCCTTTCCAATGCCAGAGTATCCATAGTTTGCTTTAATCTTAGAAAAAGATCTGGATATCCACTTTCATAAAGATTATAGCCTAGAAAAATCTAAGACCCCCTAAATTATAAGTGAGAAGTGAGGTAACGATGAGCTTCCTCCTTGGAAGCAGTAGAGGGTCCAGTCTCCAGTGACATTCACTTTCTGCTTCTCTTGTTGTATTAAAACTAACAAGTCCCCAGAGAGTGGAATAGCATGCAATGATCTAGCTAATTGTGAGCACTGGGCATTTCGCTCGCAAAGCCATAAACTGTAAATATCCCACCATGTGCTACACGATTGCCAGTCTAGTCCAAGCAGCTCCAAACTCATACTTGAGCCTGCATTTCATCCAGTCCTGAGGAAGGGGTCGTCATATCCCTCCAGGCAGGAGAGCAGTGAAGGACTCACACTCCTTGGCCATATCTCAGCAGAGACCCAGCACAATCCAGTGAGTGTTGTGGGACAGCAAACAGAGAGAGTGGGAGCTTTCTTATTTCCTCACCAGGAGAACCAACATATGTAGGATGACCCTATGGCAAACTCTGAAATGGCATGATTTGATTCAGAAGCCTCTTAAATTATTGTTCCTGACTCTGGTCTAGGTGCGAGAATACCATAATCTTTCAGTGTCTTCATTGAAAATACATTGGTTCTGGTTCCTATGGTATGTACTTCCTCCCTTTCATGTGTTCCTTAAACACAACAAAATGATCTTGTAAATGGTGAGATGATGGAAACAAGGCTGCTGCTGACAGAAATGTAGCACTGTGAAGGCTTATTGAAGGCTGCCCATGGGCACAATATGAGCTAAGATTTCTGTGAAACTTGTTTCATTTACTTGAACAACCAGCAGAAAGGAAAGAGGTAAAGGCATCCTTGCCTATTCACAGAAAGGAAAAGGACTAAAATCTTTTTTTGTAAGTTCTATCCAGGTCATGGACTAGACACAGTTGAAGCCAGGTCTGAATTTGGACCATCCCGACACAAGACACATGAGCATATTCTTCCACATCCACCCAACATGATATTTCACTTCCCTGCTCTCCCAAGGCTGAGGCCCTTGCTCACTGCGCTCTGCTGTGCTTGCCTCCACTCCGGATGATAGATAAGAATACAGGATGGGAGCACATTGGGAGCAGGGAGTTGATAAATCTACGCAGTTTTCTCTCTTGCCTTTCCTCTGGACTTTGTGTCAGCTGTCTTCTTGGAATTTGGCTCATCTAAGTCTCAAAGGAAGACCTAGGTTTAGGGTTTTATTCCTAGTCAAGGTGTCGGGATCATTTAAAAGATGTGATTTAGAAGGATCTCTAGTTAAGTTATCTAGAGTGACATACAATTTAATAGGGAACACTTCTGCTCTATTTAGTATCTCTGTGCTACAGGGCACTTTCTGAGTATTTCTCAGTGTCTGTGTCTCCATCTTTGTTTACCAACAGATGAAGGAGAGATTTGCGTTACTGTACTGATTGAACATGTGGGGAACATTCCATATGTTATGTAAGTTGTGGTGGATACATATGGTGAGGACACATTATTTTATACATTATTAGTTTAATATCAGTTAGTAAATGTTTCTTATTTAGTGTCCTGTGATCTGAATGCTTTGTGTGCCTGCCCAGAGTAGTATTATATTTTTATTCTTATACACACAGGTATTGAATGTTTAGAAGGCAACACTCACTTTCATTACTTATTATTCCCCAGAAATCTATTCTATTCATTGTACCGATAGACTACAACCATATTGATGGCACTGATTATGGTTAAATATAGAATGGACTCTTCCTTCCTTTATAGGATCAAAGTTTAGGCTGTGGCCCCCACACTGAGTGATTTTCTAATTTCCAAGGATATCCCCTAGGACTAGAGATCAGATAAAACACAAGTCTAATATGCCTGCACTAAGGGCTTTCTATGGTACTCATGTAATCATATGTGCAACATTCAGTTATCTTTAAAAATGTGTGCATTATTATTAAAATTGCAAAACAAAACAGAAAAACAGAAAGTAAATAGTGTTGTATAAACTTAGCCTTACTGTAAGATTTCAATAATACAATGTTCTGATTTATTAGGAATTATAAGATTTCTGTCTTTTCCATTTATAGGTGTAAAGTTGGGACTATATTTCAATTATAATTCAACTGATCTCGTATTGACTGAAATTCTGATTAAAAGTCAACGTCCAAGTGTCAATTAATTACCAAACCTTTATTGGCTGCTACCTGTGTCCTCCTGTTGGGAATTATACCCGCCCTCCTACATTTCCAGGTAAAACAGGTTGAAAGATTTACATGCACTCCATTTCAGTGAGATACAAAGGGAGCACAAATGGTGTCGTGTTTATGCAGTGGGATGTGATACGAAAGGTCAGTACTTTGAAAGCACCAGGGGTTTCTCCGAAAAAAGATGAGGTTTTCCACTCCCATAACCAGTTACAGTTTGGGGAACTCACGGGGAAGCTCTACCCTGCTTTACTAGATCACTATGAACCGGCATTTAATTGACAGCAGTGGATTGGGTTTATGTTCCAGTGTTGTGCCCTCAACCAGAACAGAATGATTTAGTCTCTCTGCAAGGGAACAAATGGAGACGGAACTGCTGATTTTCCTCTTACAAAGTGGTGAGTTTATCTGTGAATTAAAAATATAGACCAAATCGCTTACAGGGACCATTATAGCATGAAGCTTGTAGATTGTATGGCTTTACATATACAGTAATGCATTGTTTAAAAGTTTTATTGTTGTTTAAGTCAAAGTTTGAAGAGCAGAACATACTTGTTTCTTAGTATACTAAAAAAATCTCTTTTAATTTTGAATTAGGTGAGTATTTATATATAAGATCATTTTTGCATTGAACAACTTAAATGCTAAGCTCAGCCAGAGGAACAATTGTGAGGATGGTGCAGGACTGGGCAGTGTTTTGCTATGGGCCAGAAGCAACTCGATAGCACCTAACAAGGACAACAACAACAACATATATCTATTTCCCATTTTTTGAAGAAGTACTTTACTGCTTTCCATAGTAGTTATAGAATTTTACTGGTATAGAAGCAGGGTGTGAGGACTCTAGTCTCTTTAGAAACGTGTGTGTGTGTGTGTGTGTGTGTGTGTGTGTGTGTGTTCTGCTTTTAAGAAATTTGCTTTCAATCTGGGGTGAGGTGATAGCTCATCATTGTTTTGATTTGCGTCTCTTAAGCGCATAATGACTAAGAGCATTTCTTCATATGTCTGATGGATGCCTGGTTTTCTTCTTTGCTGAAGTATCTATTCATATCTGGTGCCCTTTTTGAAAAGTGGATTGTTTTCGTTTTTCTTACTGAGTTGTTGAAGTTTTCTATAAATTTTTGAGATGATTCACTTGTCTGTTGCCATCGGTAAAATTATTTCTCCGTCTGTGGGTTCTCATTTTACTCTCAGTGAAATCTTTGGATACACTAGGTGTCTACTTTTGGACGGCCTCAGTCATCTAGTTTGTCTTCTGTTGTTGCATATTTTACATCATGTGTGATAGTGTGTTTATGCCATGTGTTAGGACACTTACGTTTGTTTGTAATTTGGTATTGATAATTTTTTATATTTCTAGCTTTTCCATTTATGTCTTTATCCATCATGAATTTGATTTTGTATGAGGTTCTGAGATGTTTCCTTCAACTGGAAATGGATATCCCAATTTATTATCTTAAAATGCACATGTGATTTTAAATACAGTTTCATTAAAATGCATGTCCCTGTATCTCTAAAGCGGTTTGGCATAGAAGTGAACAGCATAAACACCAATGAGAAAATCTTCTTAGAAGTACTGTTTTCGGTGTTGTTTGTAGGTGCCATCAGAGCTGGCTCCAATTCATGGCAGCGCTGTGCACAAGAGAAAAAAACACTGCAGTCCTGCAACCTCTGCACAGTCCTTCCTCTGCCTGAGCCCATTGATGCAGCCACTGTGTCCATCCATCTCCCTTAGGGCCTTCCTCTTTTTCTCCACCCTTCCATGTTACCAAACATGATGTCCTTCTCTGGGGACTGGTCTCTCCTGACAAGATGTCCAAAGTATGTAAGAAGAAGTCTTGCCATCCTTAACCCTAAGGAGCACTCTGGCCTTCCCTCTTCCAACACAGATCTGATTGTCCTTTTAGCAGTCCGTGGTATTTTCAATGTTCTTCTCCAGCACCGCACTTCAGATGCATGGATTGTTCTATGTCCTTATTCAATGTCTGACTTACACATGCTTTTCAGAGTGCTGCCACTAAGCAATCTCCTGGAGATAATGGAGTCTTAAGTCCTCAAGTGTGAAAACATATATTTGCATAATTTATTTGTGAATACTGGGTTCCTGTTCACCTATTTCCTTTAACTATCCTCTTATCATTTTCAAAAGGCTTCTGGATCATGGAGCTGAAGAATCTAACAGGCATCCCAGAATTCCTCCTCCTGGGCCTTTCTGAGAATCCAAAACTGCAGCGCCTCCTTTTTGGCCTTTTCCTGTGCATTTATCTGATCACTGTAGCTGGGAATCTTCTCATTACCCTGGTGATCAGCTCAGACCCTCATCTCCACATACCCATGTACTTCTTTCTCTCCAATCTGTCCTTGGCTGACACTGTATTCATCTCTACTACGGTCCCAAAGATGCTGGTGAACACCCAGACACAGATCAAATCCATCACCTATGTGGGCTGCCTGACACAAATATCCTTCTTTTATCTCTTTGGGTGTCTGGACAGTATGTTCCTCAGCGTGATGGCTTATGACAGGTTTGTTGCCATCTGTCACCCCCTGCACTACACTGCTATCATGAACTCCCGCCTCTGTGGCTTGCTTGTTTTGATATCTTTTATCATTAGTCTTTTGGAGTCCTTAGTGCATACTTTAATGGTCTCACAACTTACCTTTTGTGCAGATGTGGAAATCCCTAGTTTTTTCTGTGACCCTCTACACCTCCTCAACCTTGCCTGTTCTGACACCTCCAAAAGTACCATACTAGTATATTTTATTAGTGCCATCTTTGGTGGTGTTCCAGTCTCAGGGATCCTTTTCTCTTACACTCGAATTATTTCCTCCATTCTGAGACTCGCATCTTCAGGTGGGAAGTCTAAAGCCTTTTCCACCTGTGGTTCTCACCTAACAGTGGTTTGCTTATTTTATGGAACAGGTATTGGAGTGTACCTCAGTTCATCTGTCTCAGCTTCTACAAAGAATGGTGCAGTGGCCTCAGTGATATATGCTGTATTTACTCCCATGGTGAACCCCTTCATCTATAGCTTGAGGAATAAGGACATCAAGAGAGCCTTGTTGAGGTTTCTTAGTGGAAATACTTAATATTTATGGCACCCTTTATGATATGTGAGATGGAAAGGATTTCATGATCTAATCACTATAAGTAGAAATTTCCTTGTTTGGTTACATAATTTTTGGAGCTCTCATAGATTCTGTCTTGAATTTTGATATCTGAAGATTGCTTCCATTGGCACATCTTTGAACAGTGAGAGTATGTGGGGATATAGTCTATTTGCATTTATCAAATTACATATTATGATCCCTTCTCTAACTTATCATTTATGATCTGACTTCCTGGTAATATGCACAATTCTTTTTTATGAACTTAAAAAGTTCACCCTTTCCCATAATTCTGAAGCAATGATTCACACATATACATTTGGATCACCAAGGTCCTCTTTTGAGCTGATTCCAGCCTGTGACTAGGATATCATTGTATTTTAAAAGCTCCATGGTAATTACATTTATTAAAAAGACTGAGAATTATGACACACACAGCAGTAATAGTCACTTCATAATTGAATCCAATTCTGCATGTGTCAAAGTAGAACTCTTTTCCATAGGGGTTTTATAAGGATAGCTTATTAGAAACAAATTTTCATTCCATTGTGCTTCTGAGTGGCTTTGAGTCTCCATTTTTTTAGTTAGCATCTGGGAGTACTGATCTCTTACACAACTCAATAATATTTGTGTATTATTGAATAGAATATTTTAAAATCCTAACTACAATATAGGTTTCATTATCATAACAATTTTATAAAGGAAATATCTAAATGGGTATAAAATATAGATATTTCCTCATAATATGTGTATGATAATGGGATGTTTTATGTTAATGATATTATAGCTATGTTTTTGTCTTTTTCATTTCCCCTGAATTATATCACATCATTGCCTGCATAGAAAATTGAAGACATAAATTACCTTTAGAGGTCTGATTGTTGTACTGTAACCTTTTAACAAACCAAAAAACCAAACCCTCTGGCACAAAGTGGATTCTGACTCACGTGATTATATGAAGGATTTCCAAGGCTAAATACGTATGAGAGCAGAGCATCTCATCTTCCTCTAGCAGATCTGTGGGTATGGTGGAACAGCTGACCTTGAGCTTAGCAGACCAACAACTAGCCATCAGCTTGGGGTTCACTGGAAAAGTTTGGAATTAAACACAAGAAGTCTGGCTTTCTGAAATTGCTTTGTGATCTTGCATGGACTTTACTTTTTCACCTTAAAATGCTGGGTTGGTCTGATGAGAAAACAAATGATTTAGAAAATTAAGATCAGAAATATAGTTAAGCACCTTTACCAAGCCTCTACAAATTGTAACACCAAAAGCATTGAGTGACCTAATAGACTAACTGTTTTCCTGAGATTGTGTAGGGCTCATGCAAATAAAGTTTCATAACATTTTTTAAAAATGAGAAAGGTGTTCAATAGCAGTTAATTACTGTTTAACCATTGAATTTTACTGAGCTTAAATTACTCATTAAATATCACTGAGTCATTTGAGTTTCATCACTGAGTTTTACTGAGTCATTTTGAATTCATTGCTGCTGCATGATTTTGTGCATTAATAACAGCATATTCATCAAAATGTGAAGACCTTTTCAAAGACAGCCCACAGCTTTAAGTTAGCATTCCTTCAGAGGACTCTATATGCCAGAATAAAAAGCTGTGATAAAAATGGATGAAAAATAAAATGGTTCAAGTAACATAGACATATGAATGTAACACGATTAAGAGCATTTGAATTGAGGTGTTGGTGAAGCATATTGAAAAAACTGTCAACTTCCAGAAGAACGAATAAGTCTTGAAAAAAGCTAAGATGGTGAGACTTCATCTCACATACTTTGTACACACCAGGAGAGACCAGTCCCTGCAAAAGTACCTATCATATACACTCGTGGATAAGCCGAGTTTTTCAGCACATTTGTAAAGCAGTTTTTGTGGTAAAACTAGGTGCCTCGGCTGATATTTGGTTCAGTTTATACTTGAGTATATTTGGTATGTAATGTTTAGTGAAGTAGCAAGTAACTGAAAAATAGGATGACCCAAAAGGTGATGGATTGACTCAATGACTGCAAGAGTGGACTTATACACAGCAGCAATGGTGAGGATAAAGCAAGCCTAGGTAGTGTTTTATTCGTTGTCCATTGGTTCATTGTGTGTTGAACTGACTCAACAAAAATTGGCAGAGATGAAAACATGTCATTAATAAAGAACTGCCTCTTTGGGTTTATGATAGGAATAGAAAGTTTCATCTGACTGCTGATATTGTGGTTAATAGGCCAATGCCTGACAACCAAGACTCTTTTTGTAATGATTACAGCCTAGGAAACTCCTGGAGCTGTTCTACTTTGTAACATGAGGTTACTTCAGGTCAGAATCTACTACATAACACCTAATAAAAACAACTAACTGAAAAGGTGACGGTTCTAATCCAGGTAATGACACCTCAGAGAGTGGTCGGGTGATGTCCTTCTGTAAAGAGTACCATCCAAAAAACCCCTATGGAGTTCTACTTTGTGACATATGGTGTAACCATAAGTCAGAATCAACTTGTGGGCAACTGATTTTATTATGTAATTAAGAACTTTGCTTTTAATATAGGTTCAAGTATATCTGGTTCTAGTTGCTGTTGACACTTTTATAGAGTTAAAATGAAATCCCGACTTTATAAATATTTGGCCCAAATGGTGAAGCTGAGGAGGCCACATACACAAAGAGTGTATGAAAAGGTTTATTTCACATACAAGACTGTAGAGTAGCCAAAGCAAATGGGAAAAAGGATGAAGTCAAGGAGCCGAATAGAAAAGTTCAAAAGGCAGCTTGATAAGACAAAACCAAGTATTGTAACAAAATGTCCAAAGAACTAGAAGTAGAAAACCGAAAGAGAAGAACCCATTCAGCATATCTGAAACTGAAAGAACTCAAGAAAAATTCATCTTGAGTTAGAATTTTGAAAGATTTCATAGGAAAACTATAGAACGATTCACTAAGCATCAAGAGAAGACAGGAAGAATACAGAGATACTGTGTCAAAAAGAACTAGTAGGCAGCCCACCATTTCAGGAGTTAGCATATGAGCAAGCACCAATCGTGCTGAAGGAAGAAGTTCAAATTGCACCGGATGCATTAAGCAAGGACAAGTCTCCAGGAATTAATGGAGTACTCATTGAAATGTTTCAGAAAGTTGAAGAAACACTGGAAGCACCCATTCATCAATGCCAGGAAATTTGAGAGACAGCTACTTGGAAGAGATCCATATTTGTGCCCATTCCAAAGAAAGGTGATTCAACAGAATGCTCAAACTATAGAATGGTATCATTGAAACAAAACTAATTAAACATTAAAATAAAAAAAGTTCTTGTGGGGGACAGTGAGGGAGGGAGGCAATAAAGGGGAACTGATATCAAGGAGTTCAAGAAGAAAAAAAATGTTTTGAAACTGACTCTGGTAGCAATTGTACAATACTGCTTGGTGGGATTGAACTATGGAATATTATGATATCTGTAAGAGCTCACAATAAAGTGATTAAAAAATACAACAAAACCTCAAAAATCTGGAATAAATTTAAAATCGGTCAAAGAGGAGCTCAAATGATAAGGTGCTAAATTTTAACCTAACTGCATCTGCAATTATCCACTTTCCACTACACTCTGCATGACACCGAGGCTCTGTTCTGTGGGCAGAGGCGATTCCCTGGAGGATTAATCCATGGGGATTTCCCCTTCACGTTTTAATGTTTTTAACAGAAACCATTTAAAATGGGTCAAAAAGAGATCAAATGATAAGATATTACACTTCAACCTGACCACACCTGCCATAATAGACTTTATGATGCTTTCTATCTGATAGCAAGGGTATTCACATTCCTCAACTGTGGTCATGTGGATCCTTTTCCCTTTTCTACTTGGTGTCCATCCTGTCTTGCCAATTGTAAGAATGCTTTCTATGAAAATCTGTGGAACATCATCTTTAAAACATGAACGTTCAGAACAGATTTGTTGGGTTTGTGGTTGTTTTCTATTAGTTTTTAAAATGATCTCCTTTTGCTTCTTCTTTCCTTTTTTGCTTCTTTTTGAGAAGAGACATTGATTTTCTCACAGTGGGGAGACTAGAAGCCTGCGTTCTGAGATGGACTGACACCATAGCTGCAACAATGGGCTCAAGCACAGGAACAATTGTGAATATGGTGCCGCACTGGGTCGTGTTTCCTTCTGTTGTGGTTTCCTCTGATTGCTGTGGTTGAACCAACTCGATGACATCTAGCAATAACATCATTTAAGTTAACACATTTTGAATTAGTATTATATGTGTGTGACATGTGGGTGCAATTTTATTGTTTGGTTTTTATCCAGTTCCCCTAACACCATTTACTGAGGAGTCTGTCACTTCATTTAATGGATTTGGCAGAAAAAAAATTGCATAAATATCTTAGTTTACTCCTGTACTCAATTCAATTACATGGTCTATATATCTGTGTTAGCCTGGGTACATTAGAGAAACAAATCCAGAGAAATTCATATGTATAACAGAGAGTTTTATATAAAGGTTAAGTGCACATCAAGAAAGCATCCCAACCCAGTACTACCCAAGCCCACAAGTCTAATATTAACCCATATGTCCAACACCAATCCACAAACTCCTCCTTCATTTCACAAAACACACGCAATGATGCAAAATGCAGGAGGAAAGCCAAATCATGAGCGTGTAAGCATCTCAGCACTGGCAGGGGTCACCGCACGGGTGCTCCAGCACCCAGGGCTGCATCAGGGTAAGTCCATGTGGCTTCTCCTCAGGGATGTCTTGAAGGAAGTGAGCCTTGCCAGCTGAAGCAGGGAACTGGCTAAGGCAGCTGCACCCTGGTCCGACCATCAGAGAGCAAGAGACCTGAGCACTAGAAAGGTGAAGCTCACTGAGCCACTTATCTCTCCACCCTTCAATTAATCCCACATGTGTTTATCGGCCAGGTTGGTACAATAAACCTTAAGTATCTCAATATCTATCATTATTCAATTATGACACTGTTTTGATTTCTTT